CTCTCTCTCTCTCTCTCTCTCTCTCTGTCTGTCTTACTCATTCTCTGTCTTATTCACTCTCTCTCTTTCTCTTTTTCACTCTCATATATATCTTCTTTCCTTTTCTCTATCTTTCTGTCTATCTCTCCCTATCTCTCTCCTCTCTATGTGGAAGTGCGTGTGTATTTGTTTGTGCGTGCGTGCGATTGTCTGTTTGTGTGTTTATTTGTTACTGTTATTTTATAATGTTGAATTCAAAATATGTTCGGAGAACTTTAGCAGAGAGAGATTTACCCCATGGCCTAATGTTTACTTACGTATCACTTAGCACAGAACGGACCAAATTCAAGCAAGGTGAAATCAGTTATAAAAGGAGTGCTCGTGATATGTGTAGTACATTTTTTACCTCATAAGTAAGTGGTAGTCAGCCATTAGTTTTTATCCATTCCCAGTTGCTTACCAATTCAGTGAGGCTGAATGTACCATGTGACCAGAGGAAAAGTCTGTCCAAAAGAAAACCGATAAAACTGTTACGAATTAAGGTAATAACACCAACGTTTGCAGAAATGTCGTACACCCATCCAGATTTAATATATATTAATATCAATGAAATATGACAGCTACAGAGTTACAATATGTCTTCCAGATATCCCCTATTCTGAGTATAGCAAATAAATTCTGACACGCGGAGTGAAATTGACAATCAGGTGTTGACGCTGATCGGGGGAAATCTCTTTCATACCCTCTATGATGGTTTCTTTCAAATCTTGGATACTTTCCCCCCCCCCCATACCTTGTCCTTCCGACACATCAAATATTGAAAGTCCAGTGAACTCAGGTCTGGATCCTTTGGGGTCCAGCTGCGCTCAGTCGGACTGACTGTTCTGTAACCAAAATGGTTGCTGATCCGTCTCAGAACTGTAAGCTCTAGCGTTATGACGAGCAGCTCCGCCTTGCTGGAAGTTCTTGTTCTGATTCCCTTCATCATCAACTAATAGTTCCGAGCTTCTCCAAAATTTTTGCAGGATGACGAGGTATCGGTCAGACTTCACCGAATCACGGACCACTCTAATCTGTTCAAGAGTGCGTTGCTTTTACAGGCTGCCTACCATGTGTTACTCGGGGCTTAGAATTCGAGTTCTGTTCTTCTATGGACCCAAACCTTTCAAAATATGCAGCCTATTTCAAAATGGATCTTTCGTTAGGAACATTATGTTTGTTACAGATATCTGTTCCGTATGTCCGAGCCTATAATAATGCACATGTAGATTTGTAGGATTCCGTTTGTTGATGTATCTTCACTGCAAAAACATGATGTACAGGGGTTAACTGTTTTATCATCTTTCCATTGCTTTCGGTCAATTTTAATGTTAATTGGATCATAAACAAGAAAGATGTTAGATTTAGCATTTCTTTGAGCGAACCTTTTTCTGATAATATATATATAT